TATATATATATATATATATATACACACACACATATATATATATATATATATATATATATATATATATATACGCATGTACAACAGTTAGCAGAAGCTAGAGATTGCGGTTCATAAAGTTTTAAATATTAATATTTTTCTTACAAAAATGCATCAGTTCGCTTCAGGAAACCTTTATTTATCCCCTGGAGCCGTGTGGGACACTTTTTATGATGGATGGATGCTCTTTATTGGACTTCTTTTGGACTAATGAAAAATAACACCCATTCACTGCTATTATAAAGCTTGGAAGAGCCAGGACAATGTTTAATATAACTTATAAGAATGTCATATACACTTAGGATGCCTTGAGGGTGAGTGAATCATGGCATAATTTTCATTTTTGGGTGAACGATCCCTTTAATTGCACAATTATATTGTTTGTTTTCTATTTATTTTTTTATTATATTATAATTATTATTCATAATTTACAGAATGTTTTATATATTATAATAATAAGTGTATCAGAAGGTGAATACTGAAAATGGGTCAAAGACGAGACATTACCATTTTGGTGTCCGCATCAAATTAAGTTTACAAACGTAATTTTATATACATAAAAAGACATGTTAAATGCAAGTAAAGAGTCTGCTTTCATATTTCAAATAACTCTGGTGAAAATAAAATGTGTAATCCAAAGTGTAAAATTGTCATTCAGCGTAATGGTTTGGACTTTGATTTTACCATTACATCTTTAAATAAACATATAAAATACCAAGTTAAAAAATTAGTTTGTTGTCTTGGCATTTTCAAGTAAGTGTTGGCTGTATTATATTAAAAGGACTAGGCCTATGTCTTATTGTTTTTTTTTTTAAGTATTTAAATATCCAGGGGTCTTTTGTCCAGAAAATGCAGTTTATCAGAGGTCATTCAGTGTAACAGGAACAAAAAGCCATTCTGAAATCATATAAAAACTGATAGTCATTCAACAGTGTGTCACACCATCAGATGGCACCCTAAAGACCGTGTGGTGCTGCAAGAAAAGTGAGATTATTGCTCTTACATAGTTGATAATTCCACCTTTTCATGGTGTGGTAACATAGGTTACAAAACGCATGTCATTCAGTGAAATGTGAGATTTTTTAAAAAATAAATAGATTTTGTGAATAATTGTGATTAACTTTACTGGTCAAGCTCAGTGTTTAAAATAGATGGCCAGTTGAAAGCCTGCAATATAAGCTGAAGTAGAAGTTTCGTCATTCAGGGTAATAATGTAACTGCTCCATAAAAATCAGACACCACAGTCTAGTGTCATCCATTTCACTGAATGACAGTATCACTGTATAAATAACCATTTTAGCATCGTATTTATATTAAAGATAAATGAGGAATGTTTAACATTGACAAATAAGTGTTAAACATAATAAATATGAATATTTGAATGCTTTTTTGAATTGATTAATTTGTGTTATTGATTCATTTTAAACGTCTATGAACAGAGGAAGTATAGGCACTGTAATAAGCCAAAAAGCGAATAAAGTAAATAAAAAATAAATCCAACAATATAAAAGAGATTCTATCATTATCATTTCTCTGTGCAGTTATCATTATTTGTGCTGTGGAATCTGCTATTATTGAATGATTTTTTTTTTTACAATATCTTTATCATTCTAGTTATCGTACTTGGTGTGAACGTGCCTTTAGCAAGGAAAAGAGAAAGGTATCGAGGATTGCAGTTGTCAGAATAATAGCTTGCCAATATTTCTGGGCAGAGAGTCCCCTCTCACTACAGTATGTAACAAGTTCAATAGAGATCATTTGAGATTTAAATACTCATCCTGATAATGACATTTATGTTGGCAAACAGAAAGTGTTAATAAATATGGCTGCAAGCAGCACATTTTTGGGTCAGAGCAAGTCAGAAACAAAGTGACAAGCTAAGCAAGCATGGCACGGGATTATCAGTAAAATTCTTATTATATTTTAAAATTTGCTTCTGCAGTCATTCACTCGGGAATATTATTAAAACTCATTTAATGACACAGACTAATACTGAAAACATTTCAGTTATGGGAACAATGGTAATATTATCTCTCTTTTTGGCAAATCGTCATTCAGAGTAACAGATATATTTATGTAAAAATTAAACAATATACTTATTGTGACTTGTACTTATTAAAATACAAAAAGGAATGTGTGATCATACTACATTTTATTATATTTTAAATGACTTTCACTTCCCTACTAAAACTTCTTGCTGACAAATAGGTAAAACCTAGTGGTCTGAAGGACATTAGCAAACTATAAAGATTTAAAATTTAAAGTTCATTTGTATTTGAGGGCTGCACTGTGATGCTTAAATATAGTCTTTTAATATGTCATCAAACGATCCATGTTTAAAATATGCCTAACGGGAGTTTTTTGGTATATAAATATTGTTACACTGAATGACATTTCAGTGGGTGTCTTCTGTAAATCATGATTAAAAAAATGCATGAGAGTTGTTATGTTTTGTTCAGAAAAATATAAAGTTAAACAGGACACATTCTAATCTATGCGAAAAAAAAACTTAATTTAAAGCTGTATTACGCTTTTATTTTTTTAATGCTTGAAACACCCTTTTCACCCTTTTTATTATTATCATCAAAATCTACTGCAAAAACTTCAAAACATGATATCAACTAAAAGGAAGCCAATGCTGCATCATCCAACATCAGCACACATTGCAAAACACGAAGGTTTGCTGAACGTACCTCGTACCGGAAGGTTGCATCCAGCAGAAGTTCAGGAAGCATCTTCTCCCCCAGCTCCCGACTTCCAGCATCAGAGACGTAATGGAGAACCAGCACCTCATCCTCCAGGAACCGTCCATGTTTGGCCACGGAGCGCATGGCCACCTGAAACTTCTGCTGCAAGCTCAAGCTCTTGTCAACTTTGGTGAACATCATGAGAGCATGAACGCGTGACGGCTTTCCCTCCAGCTCATCTCCAGCTCCCGTTCTGCTTTCTGGACTTCCAGACCGGATGTCTGTGGAGAGATCTGCATCATCACGATTGCTGTTGTGGCTCGCTTGTGTTTCCTTGATCCGTTTTGTGGTGCTGGAGAAGTTCTGCTTTTCAGAGCCAAAGTAGTAGAAGGCCACCACTGCCAGGGCTGCAGCAAAGAGCAGCATGATCTGATAGGACCTAAAAGTGCTGATCCTTCCCATGGTGACCGCCAGCACCCGCAGGACACCCATGGATCCTCTTCTGCATGCACAAAATAGGGCAGGATGCCCTTTCTTTCTTAATCTCCAATCACACCTTGAGTGCAAGAAACAGGAATTAATCAGTGACATTTTACAAAGATCAATCTAACGGCATTATAATTGTTTGGAGAGGCACAGCAAAGAGGATAAGGAGTGTTTATTACACAAATCTGTCATATGACTTATAATATATAGCGATATGTTACATAGACACATTTTATGGTGCGTTTTCGTCAGTCCGAAAGAACATTATTTTTGGTGAACCGTCCGTTTAAAAATAATTCAGGTCAAATGACAACTTCTAACAATAAACCTTCAAAGGTGTCAGCTCCAATGCATGTCAGCAGCAGAGGATATTTAAGTATGCATATCCATATCCACAGATTTATCTTGCTGCAGGATGGCATGTTGCTGCACATGATGGTACTTACCGCCGTCACGTGACGCATTCAGCACTTCTCAGACACCTTCACTTCTGCGGACTGCCAACTGTGTAGCAGCGAATCACCAAAGAATGAAGGGGACCATTCATCTGTAAAGATAGAAGACAAGTAGACACGAGACATCTAAACACTTGCGCGTCTTCCATCACCGGAAGTTCAATAGTTCATAATAAAAGACTCGCAATCACGTGGTGCATCAAACATTTTTTTTTTCTCTCTCTGTTTTAAAGTGCGCCGTAGGTAAAATAAGGAAACTTTTTTCAAACAGAGAAAGTGTTTTTTTGTTGTTGTTGATTTGTTCATCAAATTTAAATGTATAAGATTTATTTTATTTCCATTTCATTATGGATGACATTTCGATGAAAATATTGTATTTTTTTATTGCAATTGCAATTGAAAGAATAACAACAGTTGTGAAGTAACATGGGGCTAACGGACTTCACATGAAGTTAGACAAGCTACACAAATTAACAAAATATACCAATGATAAAGAAGTCTTTTAAAGATAGCTCACAATAGACTCAAGCTTGTTACAAGTTTTAGAAGCCTTTGAGTTCAAAGGATTTGACATATTCTTAAAAGAAGTAAAAAGGGACTTTATCTCAGATGAAAACATTCTAAAGTTAGGTTTGCAATGAATGGATCTGGCTTTATGAAGGTGAAATTTACCCAGAAGACAAAGCCATAAAATAATATGTTCCAGATGAATGTCCTTGGAATGAAAATCTGACAAAAAAATAATAGAATCTGTTATTTCTATCATTTTGTTACAGCAGGAAAAACTTAACAAGGTAACTTCTGACCAAAAAGACTTGGTGAATGGGCAATGATAAAAACATATGTAGAATAGATTCTTCATCAGTATTACAAAATGAACACATTGAGGAAATATTCTCAGAAAATCTGCTCAAAAATAAATGACAAGGGTAGTATCTATGAGCAATTTTGAAATGGAGTTCTTTAGAAGGTTTGCTGAACGTACCTCGTACCGGAAGGTTGCATCCAGCAGAAGTTCAGGAAGCATCTTCTCCCCCAGCTCCCGACTTCCAGCATCAGAGACGTAATGGAGAACCAGCACCTCATCCTCCAGGAACCGTCCATGTTTGGCCACGGAGCGCATGGCCACCTGAAACTTCTGCTGCAAGCTCAAGCTCTTGTCAACTTTGGTGAACATCATGAGAGCATGAACGCGTGACGGCTTTCCCTCCAGCTCATCTCCAGCTCCCGTTCTGCTTTCTGGACTTCCAGACCGGATGTCTGTGGAGAGATCTGCATCATCACGATTGCTGTTGTGGCTCGCTTGTGTTTCCTTGATCCGTTTTGTGGTGCTGGAGAAGTTCTGCTTTTCAGAGCCAAAGTAGTAGAAGGCCACCACTGCCAGGGCTGCAGCAAAGAGCAGCATGATCTGATAGGACCTAAAAGTGCTGATCCTTCCCATGGTGACCGCCAGCACCCGCAGGACACCCATGGATCCTCTTCTACATGCACAAAATAGGGCAGGATGCCCTTTCTTTCTTAATCTCCAATCACACCTTGAGTGCAAGAAACAGGAATTAATCAGTGACATTTTACAAAGATCAATCTAACGGCATTATAATTGTTTGGAGAGGCACAGCAAAGAGGATAAGGAGTGTTTATTACACAAATCTGTCATATGACTTATAATATATAGCGATATGTCACATTTTATGGTGCGTTTTCGTCAGTCCGAAAGAACATTATTTTTGGTGAACCGTCCGTTTAAAAATAATTCAGGTCAAATGACAACTTCTAACAATAAACCTTCAAAGGTGTCAGCTCCAATGCATGTCAGCAGCAGAGGATATTTAAGTATGCATATCCATATCCACAGATTTATCTTGCTGCAGGATGGCATGTTGCTGCACATGATGGTACTTACCGCCGTCACGTGACGCATTCAGCACTTCTCAGACACCTTCACTTCTGCGGACTGCCAACTGTGTAGCAGCGAATCACCAAAGAATGAAGGGGACCATTCATCTGTAAAGATAGAAGACAAGTAGACACGAGACATCTAAACACTTGCGCGTCTTCCATCACCGGAAGTTCAATAGTTCATAATAAAAGACTCGCAATCACGTGGTGCATCAAACATTTTTTTTTTCTCTCTCTGTTTTAAAGTGCGCCGTAGGTAAAATAAGGAAACTTTTTTCAAACAGAGAAAGTGTTTTTTTGTTGTTGTTGATTTGTTCATCAAATTTAAATGTATAAGATTTATTTTATTTCCATTTCATTATGGATGACATTTCGATGAAAATATTGTATTTTTTTATTGCAATTGCAATTGAAAGAATAACAACAGTTGTGAAGTAACATGGGGCTAACGGACTTCACATGAAGTTAGACAAGCTACACAAATTAACAAAATATACCAATGATAAAGAAGTCTTTTAAAGATAGCTCACAATAGACTCAAGCTTGTTACAAGTTTTAGAAGCCTTTGAGTTCAAAGGATTTGACATATTCTTAAAAGAAGTAAAAAGGGACTTTATCTCAGATGAAAACATTCTAAAGTTAGGTTTGCAATGAATGGATCTGGCTTTATGAAGGTGAAATTTACCCAGAAGACAAAGCCATAAAATAATATGTTCCAGATGAATGTCCTTGGAATGAAAATCTGACAAAAAAATAATAGAATCTGTTATTTCTATCATTTTGTTACAGCAGGAAAAACTTAACAAGGTAACTTCTGACCAAAAAGACTTGGTGAATGGGCAATGATAAAAACATATGTAGAATAGATTCTTCATCAGTATTACAAAATGAACACATTGAGGAAATATTCTCAGAAAATCTGCTCAAAAATAAATGACAAGGGTAGTATCTATGAGCAATTTTGAAATGGAGTTCTTTCATTTTACTTGGGATAAATAGCCTGTGAGGAAAGGTCCATACGTTTTTTAATTCCGAGTTCGGATAACAAATCCTCCATTTAGATTGTGCTTCAGAGGGGCATCCTGGAGTTGAAGAAGGAGCATTTCTAATAAAAAAGTTATTGCATTTTTTATATAATACATAAACATCATTAAATGCAAGTGTAAGAAAATGGTTGTTTACACAGCCATAATTTTGATGAAAATATAAAATACATATTATACACACACACACACCGATTATTCTTCATATAATTAAAATAATTTTTACTGTTATTTAAACAAAAATATTACACACACACACACACACACACACACACAGATTACTTATATAGTATGAGATCACTTTGGAAAATCAAGGATTTACGATCTAATTTATATATTCTAAATTTATTTTTAAATATATAACATATTCCTATATATAAAAGATTCTTAATACATATTTATATGCAACTAATTAGTTACTTAGAAGTTAAATGTGTGACAGATCAAGCGAAATCTTTGTCTAGCCTGATGTTTCAGTCACCATCAGCTTTTTTTTTACTTCTAGGCAAGGATTTGTCAAGTGTACACCAAGCTTGTCTCAAACTTTCCTTGTCTAGTTACTACGTGAGTGGAAACAGTCCATGCCAAAGTCATTCGCATACATGAACATGAATATAATTAGTCAAGATTCATGAAAATGTTCTTGAAATACGTTTATTTGTACATAGTCACATAACACTCAAAATATTGAAGACAGACTGGATACAAAGCTACTTTTGAACTGAGGTGCACGATGAAATTGAATAGAAATGAAGATGAGGCTTTGTAACTGATGGCAGTTTATAGAAGTGATGGGTGCAGTCATAGGCCGAAAAATCCTTTACACCTACAAAAAATTAAAAATAAAAATACTAGGGCAACTTTTTAAACTTTTGACTTTTCCTTTTTTTTTTTATCTCATGCAAGGAAGTAAAGAGGTAAAGAAAGTATTTGGCCCGTTATATATAATTTTATAATAGTGATAGTAAAGAAGATGATCTTTATGACATCATAATTCAACACATAAATGAGTAAAATGCAACAGCAATACACAGAGAAATGTAACCACTCAAAGCATTTTAAAAACAAACAAAAAAAATTGCTTCGACCTTCCATTAAATAGATTTTAGACTTCACATAATTGCAAACAAATGTATACTTTATTTTTCTTTGCATTTAATGGTAATTTTTCCTCTCTTTTTATTGGTGTAGCAGAGTTTCTAACTGTAAAGAGACTCCAGACCAAACCATTGAAACATTCACAATCGGTATGAAATTGCCTATGCAAGTAAACCTTCAGTGCTGTGTAACATCGACGGCTTTGTAGTCAGGACACAAAGACGGTTCCGAGCGATGATTTTCAAGTACAACAACTGAAACTTATTAAACATTTTTTGTCATTTAACTCCTTTTTTCAAATTTTCCTTTGTCATACAAAAGACTCCAGAATTTCTGCATCTCGATAGTTTGCTTACAAGTTATTTAAAATGATTAAAAAGTAAAGTAGAAAGCTACTGATTACATTAGTCGTTTGTGAATGGGCTTTTTAGCGGGTCCAGCCCAAGTAGATCTGTAACCTGTACAGACAAAAACACACGTAGTGAACAGAACCATGCATTAAATGGCTTTAAGAGAGCTAACAGAAGGCTGCTTGCCATGACTAAGCTCTAACGTAGCTGATCTCAGTTTTAGGCAGTAAATGAGCACGTAGGGTTAAAAACGCATGCAGGAGACTAAAGCGTCCCTCAGGACCGAAGGCAAAGAGAGAAAGAACAAAGTACGGAGGAATACAAAGTGCAAGAACCACCTGCATACATCAGTCTGACACCAAGTGTATATCTGTTCATTTGTTTACTGCATATAAGAGTTACAACGTTTACAAAAAAAAAGGGAAATGCTTAAATGTGGAACACTACAATAGTAAGTACTCAGGACACCATTTTAAACTTAAAAACAGTAGAAAAACAAACCGTCGTTCATTATGATTTGCATTGTTAGATGTTGCCAAGTATTTAAGCAGAATTTCAGCTCTGCAAAGACCTCGTCAGACTGTAACATGGAAATGAGCATGTGTTGTTTCCTTCAGTTTTTCCTACGTAGATCAATCACATTTTCATCTGAGTGTTAATATCTCAGGTGGTTATGCAAGTATGATCACTGACGTTCTTTCTGAGGAAAACACACCGTACATAAAACGGTTATGTTACTCCTGCCAGTAGCCATATATCCATTTAAATAGCACGATTGCACCTCATTAGTAAATTTACATTTTCACAGCTTTTAAGTAATGCAGAAACACGTCAGGGCCTTGGATTTACCGACAAGAGCCGAGGAGAGATAGAAAGAGAAAATCTGGATCTGTGTCCAATGAGGTAGTTCACCCTAAAAAGAAAATTGCATCAACGTCATGTTGCTCCAAACAAGAAATATATTTTAAAAAAATGTCTGTTTTTTAATTCAAGTCAATTGGGTTCTTCAAAATATCTTCTTTAGTGTTCTGCAGAAAAAAGAAAGACGGGTTTGGAACGACATGAGGGCGAGTAATTGTTTTTTGGGTGAACTATCCCTTTAAATGTGTGATTATTTGGTTGGATTGGACCTGTTAAAGAGATCCAGAAAGCTGCTAATCCAACAGGCGAAGAGAGCAGCTCGAACGTAACACTGCCATTACGGCCCCAAGCAAGGCACTTAACCTGACTCAAAAGGGCGATCGTTAGTTAGTTAATTTGAAAATGTCAAAATAAAAGATAACTACCTTTATTTTCTTTTTCTCTAGTTTCAGCTAGTGCTCAGCCCTGTAATGCCACATTCGAGACATCCTGCACCATGAAACATTCACTGTACATTGTCTGCACTAATGAAAAAGACAATGAAGGGGAACAGAATGCGTGTATATATATATATATATATATATATATATATATATATATATGTATATAAATGTATCTGTAGTTATTATAATGCACTGTACTGTAGTGTCATCGGTAAATGATATTTTACCAGTGTCATCCATTTGAAGCATCTAAAAGCCATTTCACCGTCTAAAACATCCATTTCGTCTATAGAATCTTTCAACATGTTTAACTACATAGCACCATCTTTCTTAAAGAAATAGTCAACCCCAAAATGACCCTTATGTCGTTCAAAACCTGTATGACTGACTTTCTTCACACAAGATATTTTTGCAGATTGTTGATCATCCGTTTCAGTTTCCATTGACTTCCATTGATTGTTTGTTTTTTTGCCTATTTTATGAAAATCAATAGGAACCGAAACGGTTTAGTTATCAACGTTTACAATAAATAACGAAAGAACTGTCATTTTTTGGTGGACTATCCCTTTAATGCTTCACACACAAACTACGAGTTGTATCTGTAAAAAAAAAAAAAAGTCAGGTTAACAGAAAGGTCAGGAAAGGTCTTGCCAGCTTTAGCGTAGTAAAATAAAGTACCCAGAGACACAGCTACTCAACTGAAGGGGAGAAAATGCTATTTTGTTCTTTCGTAACTGCTCTGCGTCAATGCACCGACAAGTGTTTGCTTTCCTGTGGCATGCAAGGGCACATGAAGAAGAATATCAATTCATATTATGCGAGTGTATTAAGGCTTCATATCTGCACGCTGCCAGGGCATCTGATAGGACAATCGTTACTCTGCCCTGCTCAATCGCACCGGACAACCGAGAAAACACAGAGAGCAGATAACCTGGATTCCTGTGATGTTTTGCACACTGGAACTGGAAAAACATAATCGATCTGTAAGGAATAAAAATTAAAATATATGTCCTGATTAGTGATATACTTATATATATCGGCCAGGCCATTAATTTTTAACCCATTGGTACTGACTGACAGCCTTGTCAAAAATAAAGATTGCTTATATGCTTCAAACTCAATATTCTGGGTAAATATTGTGTAAAATAAGGGAAATCCGCACTCATTTGCTTACTTATCACCATCAGTACTGGCCATCATAAAACCCATATTGTAGTCCTAAAAATGAATATTTATTTCTATCATGAAACCTGGGCTGTTATTGTGTAGTGCGTTACGTGCATACTGAGAACACAAACCATGTCATTACCGATGTCTCTGAAAAGTCTGTATAAGGATTATGAGACTCATGTAGTGCTACTGTGAGGCCAAAATGTGAGTTTGTAATAAAAAAAGAAAGAAAATATTCACGTCCAGTGCATAATAAGGTATTCAGGCTATCATTTTAGCTCGCTGTGCATATAAGGAAGAAAAGAGAACGAAACCTTATCATCCGTTTATAATAAACCAACTGAACTCAAAGAACAGGAGCGTAATTCGAAAATCAGCACCATCAGATTCATACTGCTACGCCTCGGGCTCGGGTTGGGGGGGGTTAGTGTTGGTTTTGAGAGGAAAGGCCAGGTAGCAGACCAGAAAGTTTCATACCCTGTTTTTCTAGTGTTCTCCGAGGTTCCGTGCATATTAGAAGGCATTTGTAGTTTTAAACAGGAAGACATGAACATCCCCACAAAAGCTCCAGAAGAGTGCAGAACTTTTTTTCAATGGTTTGTTTTCCACAGAAAAAAATTATATATATTAATAATAATAATAAGAATTGACTCTCCAGGAAAAGAGCAGCACAATGTGGAGAGAAAAAAAAAACTTGGACAAAACTACAGCTATAACATACAACCACTCCGGACGATGATGGGCAAGAGATGCCTCACACAGGGAAAAGAATAATAAACAAGAGGACACAAAAAGATGTCCTTCCAGGTTGTTTTAGTGCTCTGAAGGTCATTTGTACATGAGGTTTGGGTGCTATGATTCTCCATGGCATAAATCAGGCAATGCGTCTTACAAAAAGGGTCTTGTTTCTGCCTGTTATCCGGCCCCAAATTCCACCAGTGGGCTGGGATCTGTGTGGGCTCAGTTTTGGGCATGGTGTCGGATGGTGTGAAAGATCCAGTCCATCTTTGTGGTCCATCCACCATGGTGAGCGTCATTCATTTGCTTCATGAAATAGTCTAGAGCCTCCTGCTCCGTTTTGTCCAGCGCCAGAGTTTTTCGGATGTAAGCGATGTCATCAAAGGACTGCAGCTCTGGCATGCCTGAGCCCAGCATCATGGAGAAGAGATTTATGAAAAGGTTGGCATGCTGTCTGATAGCCAAGTAAGCCTTGTAGCACATCTCCTGGAACCTGTAGGGGGAGACAGTGAGATGTTCAGCATCCCTGCTGCATCTATAGGAAGTCCCAAACTCTGAAAGGAGTAATGGGATTTTTGAATAGGTTTCTGGTTAAATGCCTGAAATAAGGTCTGTGGTTAACAAGCTCAATACTCAATAGCTCAAAATATTTTCACATTTTATTCTACAAATTAAAATACATCTAGTGATTTCTTAAAAGATTTCTTATAAAAGCCAGTTGCTAAAAAGTGGCTAAAATGGAAATGCTCTTGTCCACGATTCTAACTCAAGCTTTGCAACTTGAAGATTTGAAATAAAAATTGAAAGCTTAGCTTTTCATTTTTGGTGATTGTAATAAGGCATCATAATTCAGAAAAGTGTTCGTCTGTAAAGATGTAAGAATCATAAGCTTTTGTTAGTCACAGAGCTATTTTTCTGCAACAATCCAGAAGTTAATAAAAAAAATCCTATTGGGTTTTTGTCGGGGAGTGATACTAACTTCCGTGTTGGCCTAAAAAATTACATCACTCCTGCAGTGCTGTATAGATAAAGCTACTAAACTTAAGATGGCAAAATTCTAAAAGGAGAAAACATTAAAACATTCCTTAATATGCTTTTATGCTTCAAAACCTTTTTTTGAAGCTGCACTCAAATCCTGTCTTTCCATCAGACACCATTTCATCATTGGTTTAGTTTTTGCAAGTGGAAACATGGACGTCTACTCCTCTGACACACAGAGATAGGAAACAAATCCTGCTTTTTTGAAGCCTCCTTTGAGTCCCGACTGAAGCGGAGATTTGTTAGAAAGCGGAAGCCTGGAGAAGAGGCAGGAAACTTGGCAGCCGGCTGGCTGTCAGAGTATTGTTGGAGGAGGAAAGGCTGCTGGGATGGAGGCCCTAGAGGCCCATTTTGAAAGCCTCTATTGTTCAACTCAATCTTTAATTGTCTCAGATAGCTAGCTGCCTGCCAATTACTATGTTAATGTTGAAACACAAAGGATTTGTTTCTGTTAAGCTCACACTGGAAAATAATTGGCAATGCTTCCAACATGCACATACGCACCTCTCAAACTCTCTGGTTTTAGTGCACTCTTGGGTTCCTCCTTTGCTGATCACAATTAAGAAGTCTTGAGTTAAGACGAACGGCACTCGCTCTCGCTTATAGCCAAACTTCTTCTTCTTGTGGTCCAAAAAGTGACCAAAATCTATATGAAACAGCTGCAGGGACATAAGCAAAAGGTCAATATGAGAATACTGATAATGACTGAATGTTTCAATTGCATTAAGGCCTCTAAAGATCAGGTTCATACCTGCCCATCATCCTTCACCATGATGTTACTGTTGTGTCTGTCACCGATGCCCAGAATGAAAGTGGCCACACAATAGCCAGCGCAGGATCGCGTAAACAAGTCGATGGCCATGTCGTACCTATTAACACAGATCATTTTGTTATTGTATATTTGAATTGTGCATTGTACATTCATTTTGAATTTAAATGGTGAAAGTAATTAAAAATTCTTTTTAAATTATAATAATAATCGCCACTCACATCTCGCCCTTGTTCTTGTCCTTTAGCCACTGATGCAGTGTTGAACTGTTAAACTGCAGTGCCCCTTTTAGACCTCCTTTACACTGAATCTGCATGATGGTGTGGGAACTTCTCACGACCTCGATGAGACCCACGCAGTCTCCAATAGACAAGCAGCCATAGGGGAGCATTCTGGGATACCAAAAATTTGAGAGTTAATACAAAATTCTACATCTTGGCTGCAGGAAACTAACAACTCAACATTAATATCTGGTTAACTACTATTTATTTGGCTGAATAATGTTTTGGTTACCAGGCAAGATGTTTTACCAGTACGCCCACATACCTCAAGTCCAGCCCCTGATTTTGCCAAATGTTCTCCATTATTCTGATGATCTGAAGTGTCAACATGTCTTGCCGCAGGTCTAAGGAAAGGAAAAGGTTTTGTTTTTTACCATACAAAATGGAGACAATTCATACTAAACGTGAAAAAAAAAGAGAGAATAAAAATCTTACCATCCCCGTTTTTGAAGATGATCTCATTGTTTTGGAAGAGAAGTTCGGACATGATGTCAGGATTTTCCCAGTTCAGCCAGAGCGGTCTCTTGGCAGAGGACATGATTCTGCAGTCTTCAAGTCTACCGTGCAAACAGAAAAACAAAGTTAGAAATTAAACAGACTACCATTTGAAAGAATGGGGAAAGTATAATTTTTTTTAGAAGGCTCACCAAGGCTGCATTTATCTGATCAAAAAATAGAGTTAAAAAAAACTAATATCGTGAAATACTATTACAATTTCAAAAATGTCCTTTATTCCTGTGATGCAAAGCTGAATTTTCAGCATCTTTACTCCAGTCTTCAGTGTCACATGATCCTTCAGAAATCATTCTAATATGCTGATTTGCTGCTCAAGAAACATTTCTTATTATCAATGTTGAAAACAGTGGTTCTGCTTAATATTTTTGTGGAAACTATGATTTTTTTGCCTTTATGAACAGGAAGTTCAAAAGAACAGCACTTGTTTGAAAAGGAAGATTTTGTAACATACTGCCATGGTTAATCAATGTTGTAGTAAAACTGACATGTGCTATCCCTGCTAAGTGAAAATACGTTCTCTTCGCTGTAAATGCTGCGCAGGTTGGTACTCACCGTAGGTTACCCAGCTGGTGGGCAGGGTTGAGTGGAGAGGTGAAATTTTGGAGTGCATCCATGTAGTCCGGTCGCCTCATCTGCTCCACCAGGAACTTCATTTGCACCTGAAAAACCGAAACAAATACACTTTAAAATAAAAGTCGGTCAATACTTAAAAATATTTTTCTAAAGTCAACATCAGGGAAATAAATGACCTCAGATTTTCATTTAATTAAATGTTTTTTTATTATTCTATTATCTACCGCCCTATTATTGATTTCCTACTACACCATTTAATAAAATTAAATGAAAAATAAAAATGCATTTATCCATTATTTTATCATATATTAAAATACATTTTGAATTGAAAATTTTGAAAATGACATACATTTTGATCATTTTTTTCCATATTAATTACTACTACATTTTAGTAGTAGTAGTATATTTTTATTTAACTCCATGTCAGCATCTTAGGCTACTTTCATGGCAAAAACGAATTAAAAAATACAAGTATACTACTAAATTTTAAGTTGTATTTCCTGTGATGTTGTTTAATTTTCAGTTACTTATCTCTGTAAATTAGTTTATTTTTATCAAATTGCAGATTCTTTAATCCATTTATCCACATGCTAACAGCTGCTTATTTGATTTTTTTAATTAATTTCAATCAATTAATTTTTTCAAATTATACATTCCCAAAGTGATTTACTGATTCCTTAAATTATTTTTCAATTATCAAATAATAAGCATCACATTTGAGCCCCCATAATGAGGAGCTTCTCACACTGAAGCACAGACAAGCCATTGGCCTCCTCAAACCTGATCCAAGTTTTTCCCCAGCAAACGCAAAACAACTTAATTGGCCAATAAACTTTAAGCTCAAGTTAATTACTTTAACAACATTGAGTGGGATGTTTAAGGTAATGCCCGAGCGCTTTTAAAGGATCACCTCACAGAGTGGATGATGTATCCTCTGTAAATCTAATCTAACAGCTACGGTTTCATTTGCAGTGTGCGTAAAGAGTCTCCTAATATAACCTCACGTGCCCATTCACCTACCTACTTATAGGTGAGGCGAGAAGGTCAAAGGCTGAGTTTACCTTCTGAGTTTCATCCTTCTTCTCCTGTTTGAGAATGTCTGTGAGGTTGATGAGCTTCTCCATGGCTTCCACCTGTCTGCTCAGGTGTTTCAGGTACATGCCACATGCCCGACAGTACGACTCCAACAGCAGACCAAACCGCTGACTCACGGTTTTATTGTGCATTTCTGACCTGCAACCCAACAAGATAGGTTACAATTTAACTTCATTTGGAGCTTCAAAAACATCAGGATATTTAGGTCAGCATACGTAAAAGCCTGACAGAAAAGAGAACAAAAAGAGGAAACTGCTTACTTCAAATGCCAAAAGAAGAAGTGCCCAATCCTCTGATTGGTAAGAGCTTTTTTCAGCAGAAATCTCACCAGTGGGTTATCAAGATACTGCTCATACTTCAAAACCTTAAACAAACGAAAAGTGAAACATTGAAAAATCACCAAGTAAACTAAGGCTTCCCCCTAATAGTCGACTAATTGTTAGTCGACTAGGCTTGCTGCGATAGACGGTGTTGACGGAGATACCGGTGTTAAGCCGCAACACCGGTTATGTCACTTGCCCACCGTGGCACCGATCCCCACCGTCGTTTAGATTTTTTATAGTAATAAAAATCATTTAGTTCAGTAAAAGAACAGACACTACAATTAAAAACTGAACGCGGCTGCTCAATGCAGCGTGCCGAACGACAGTCGCATCACAGATCGGATTTCATTTCTCCAGTGAGGAGAGTGAGTCGAGCTGACTGACAAGAAGAGTGAGGTGGGGTGAGACAGACAAGACTATCGCGGATGATTTAGTTTCAAAAAACGAGATATTTTGGATTTTGAAAAGCCTGTTGACTTTTGCCGTTTATCTAAGGTGATTTTGGAAGTTTTTTTTAAACATTCGTTTCTTATTTAATTGGTTCCACATTATTTACTGATTTTTACTTTTAAACTGCGTCATTTATTTATTTTATTTGACATCAAGGTGTATGCCGTGCCTCCAAGCTTTCTTACTCGTTTTGCTAATAAACGTTCTACTTTATTTATTTATATATATTATAAATGTTTACTTAGCCTATTTCCAGTTTTGTACACTATTTAAACTTTATGTAAGTTATTTGTCATTTTTTATTAGGCAGCCTGACCTATAGAATGGTGTATTTTTATTTGTTTTGTTAATAAAAGTTCTATGTTTTATATATAGGCTAAAGTGAGTTTGACGTTGTATTTTGTTGTTGCATTCAAGCAATTGACGCCGAACTGCCGCTAATTCAAAAGTGAAAGTGAAATGCGCATGGCGCTTTCAAGCTATTTAAAAGCCACGGAAAGTGAGGAAAAGAGGGAAAATTCAAACAAACTAAAAACAAACAATTGCTTTATGCCGAATTGCCGCTATTTAAAAGCGAAGGAAAGCGAGGAAAAGAGGGAACGCCCCCGCCCCCGCCCCCGCCCCCCCGGGGCTACCGGTGTTGTCACACGTCGATTAACCGGTGGGAAAATTTCCTCACCGTCACAACCCTATAGTCGACCAGAAGAGGCTTGGTCAACCAAAATTTTACTAGTCGCAGAAAAAAAATAAAACCCACAGGCGAAGTCTTGGACAGATCGTTAACGGCTAGTCTATGGTAATACAGTACATCGAGCAGGACATCCAAACGCTCGCGCCTATCATTTATCGACCTCAAATATGGCTTATCATCTGAAATATTTAAGTATTAGCAACTTTACATGGCCACTCAATGTAATGTTGACCAAGAGTAATGTGTGCTATTGAAGTGTCTGTGTGTAGTGTAGAAGCGCACTCACTGCAGGACAGATGGAGGCGCCGGTGCGCTCACTTACTCCTAACATACTACATTTTTGGTCATACAGATAAGAGTAATACATCTTTCAAATCTGTAAAGACTCTGTTTATTTGTGTGCACTCACAATAACAAAACATTGTGCTTTTGTAAAATAATGAAAGCAAAGCTTTCTGCTGTCTCGGTCTATGAACTTGAGCGCGAAACTCTGTGTATATCTTTGCCTTACAAACATTATAAATATAGCCTATCTATAGAGAGTGAAATGTCTACTTTCAAATGAACCAATTCAAATGTAAAACCAATATTCTCAAATTATGTATCCGTATGAAACTACAAAACTACTGTGGAGATGACGAGTCAGTGTCGCCGACTTCATCTCTTAAACCTAAAACTAGGGATGCACCGAATGTTCGGCAACCGAAATTATTCACAAAATAAGCGAAAAGACCGAATAAATTGTACCGAACAATGATATGACGCGATCAAATAGCAACCAGCAAAGAGTGAGAGGTGCGCACTATATATATTATATCTTTATAATGCAGCACACATGTCAGCAGTGTGGACGCATTTGAAACTGTCCGAGAAAGATGCAAAAATCATTACAAGCACCAGCGAGAGACTGTTTAGGACTGCATCGCATGTCTTCGATGAGAAGAGAAAGGGGTGATTGTTGCTGGTTACTGTATGATGATTGAAATCGCGAAATGGCCTTAAACAATTAGTAAATAAACTGCAGAACGTTATGTTTTCTAATACGCACGCATTGCATGTATTCTGACAGTGCTGCACGAGCTCGCGGCGCTATCATCTGCTTGTTAACCAGGGTTTAAAGTCCAAAGTGCAAGGAAAATCTGCTCTCCTCAGTTGCTCAGTCACATTTTTCTGAATTTTTACAAGGCATGTGACAATGCGTACGTAATAGAATACGTACGACGTATTCGTAATGAGACTCATTTATAAATCTGCTGTTGTCAACAAAAAGAAGCATTGAGGTCTTCCTGCGCGTTTCCACCAAAATAAAAGTTGAGAAAAAGCAAGAACTATCAACATTCATAAATGTTAGTATTGTAATTTCACTGTTGTTCTGTAAAATAAAATAAAAAGCAAGACAATAATAAATGACAATAATCATTACAACAGCTCTGTTAATACATTTATTATAACATTCACACATAGTGTTCAAATTAGGATCTGAATTTTTTTTTTTATGTTTTAGTCTCTTCTCAGTAAGGCTGCTTTTAATTGTACAGTAAAAATACATGCCTGATTCAAGAAGAGGGTCTGATGGCCAAAAAATATTATTTTACTAACTTATTAATTTTAAGTTAAATTGTGCTTTGTTGGTATAGTGTCTGCTAGATGTTTTAATGTTAAATATTTTTAAATTGTTTTTTTGTAATTGATTGTTTTTTTCTTTGAAAAGCAAGACAAAACAGTAAAAGCAAATTTTGGCTATTTAATTCATGGAAAAAAACTTGAAAAACCGTTTTCGGTATTCTGCCCAGTGATTCATTTTGTTAGGTTTCGGCCAAGAATTTTCATTTCGGTGCATCCCTACCAAAAACAAAAAAAGCACTAATTTATCAAATTATTAAAATGTTAGTGCAGTCTCCTTACTGTTTTTCCCTGACACATTCATAATTATTACTTTTGCCGGTGCGTTGTGGCAAGCTATATGCGTGTGCTTGAGTGCTTTTTAGGCTATGTAGGCAATTAAAGGCTCATTATAACGATTTAAATGGTTTATTAATAAACGTGCGATTAGTCGACTAATGCTTAAAATGAACGACTACTAGTCAACCAGAAAAATCCTTAATCGAGGGCAGCCCTAAAATAAACACAGTAAGGACATTTATAATCAATAACTGAATATATCAGTCTTACCTGAACCAGCTGAATGAGGTACTGCGAGAGTTTGTCATCAGTCAGATACTTCTCAAGGCACCGAACTGCAAAGTCTCGGATCATTGGATCAGGATAGTTACAGTCAAGCAACTCCATGGCTTGTTCCGGCTTTATTGCGGGCCAGTCTTTAAGAAGACAATACATCTGTGCAACTTCATCCCTGGAATTCCATTTCACTGCCAGGAGAATCTTTGGCAGGACTTCTGGAATATTTACACAATACTGCCTAGAGTAGAAAACACAAATACCATTTTAAATAACTTTAAAATATAAATTAAATTAACTACTGTGGCAATGGACACCACAGTGAGGAGAGCTTATGAGGGCGTTGGACTACCTGTGTCTCCATAAGAAGTCTTTTTCCTGCTCAGTGATCTCAGAAAGCGGGTCCCTGTTGCTCAGCTGACGAAGTTGCTCTATATCTGTCTCCGTCATGGCATGGTCTCGGGCCAGTCTGCTGCTCTGTTAGTCAGATGAGAGACTCAATTAATAAACAGAGAACGAATTTCACAAAGAAAACTTTTTTCAAAAAGAAAAAAGAAAGCAATATTTACAAATGTCAATTTACAAATCCATTTTATTTTATATACACATTACCATTCAAAAGTTTGAGGTCAGGAAGACTTTAAGAAATTAATACAATTGTTTAGAAATGACACTTCATTATTCCACAAAAATATTAAGTAGGGAAACAGCATTGACAATAATAATAAATGTTTCTTGAGTAGCAAATCAGTATATCTGAGTGATTTCTTAAGGATCATGTGACACTGAAGACTGAAAATTCAGCTGACAGTTATTTTACAATGTACTAATATTTCACACTTAATATTATTTTGACCAAATAAATGCAAGACAGACCTAAAATGACCTCTGTTATCATTGGTTCTGTAGAAGTGATGCATCAGTTATTTTTAACAAGAAAGTAGTAGTAGTTCAAAATGATGAATCGGAGATGAATCAACAATAATTTTTTTAGGAAAGTAAATAAATGTCCAGGACTCCAAGTGAAAAATAACACCAACATGTCAGAAAAAAAAAAAAAAAAAAAAAAAAAAAAAAAAAAAAAAAAAGTGGATGGTCACTGCTGAGGTATATTACAAAATCAAATAAATGAACATGATAATTAATAATTGAAATAATGACTCATGAGGTGCCATAGAGAATGGCAGAGATGTTTCTCATGCTCCACAGGCTTGTAAAGGGTATTAATAGCAGCAGGAAGTGTGTCACTATAATTAATTAATTAGGATGCGTGTCTGTAAGCTCACCTGTCCAGACTGGCAGTAATTGTATCCCATCTCCCTGGATATTATCCAGTTAGCGTGATCCTCAATCGTGGCCATGTCAGGGAACTTAACTGGAGAACTGAAGTGGTCAAACTCCAGCTCTAGACATGGGGTTTCCTAGAGCAAAAATAAATAAATACATAAATGGAAAATACAGCCAAACGCTAGTAACTAAATAACACTTTACTAAGAACTAATACAGTTTTAGCATCTATGCCATTACACTCCTGAATTCTGTATTAAGACCATTAGACTAAGATTTTCCTCTGAAGTAAAAAATAACCAATTAAAATAATAAACACAACACTGATTAAACAGATTTAGACCATACACTCTTAATTAACCATAACACCTCAGATTACACAACACAGAGGAATTGTATTAGAGCTTATTAAAGTGGTTTAGTGCTCAAAGAGGTTATGAAAGAGAGGACACCTTATTAGGGTTAGAGCCTGTGACCCCAATGGGGTTGAGGAGGTCTTCTAGGCCGTGTGGTACTGGCCACAGGTTCAGTGCCATCTTTCCTGAGACCAGTGTGTGTGTGTAGTCAAACAGGTTGACATTTCCCCAGGCCAGTGGACAGTGCTCCTGTAGAAGATCATTTAAATGTTCAGCTATGAAGCAAGCACTATTAAAACACTGTAAATAATAGGGCTGGGTTTTGACACAAATTTCACGATTTGATTCGATTCTCATTCACAAGTTTGCGATTCGATTATTTTGGCTATATATCAGGTACAAGGAAAAAAAATCTCTCAACTAATGCTGTAAAATATACATGAGAGTCAGTTGGTACTACGTTACTATAATATTTAAGGTTAAAACTGACTGATTTTTTAAAATTACACTTAATGAAGTTTTTAAACCAATAAAGTTACAATTACATAATATTTCTACTTCAATTCGTTTTTTTTTTAAATATAAACATAATGGTGGCTGTCATAAAATGATGGATTTATTAAAACATAAATTAAACATTGAAGAACAGTAAAATTTATAATGATTATGCTACATGGTGCATATATTTAGCAAAATTCTATCTGACTAATGAGTTTATGGTCCCCAAATGTTTTTTTCTGAGGTAAATGTGACGTTACGTGACTTTGTTTAAAAGCCATTATAGTGACATCTTTGCGCGACTGAAACACTGATTGAGAGATTACATGAGACAGGATACGGATTGCAAAGTTGCACTCTTTCTTTTAACTTACCTTCGGATGTTTAGTCATGTTTATTTTGTGCTGAAACTAGTATTAATGTGGAGGATATGATCAGTTCACGTGCGCTACGTGCTGCCGCGTCTGTTGATCGAGGCGCTATAGCGATCTGTCACTCCACATTAAACAGCGCCAAAATGGCATTTATTGTGTGAATACTGCAATACAATGGAAAGAATTTGACATCTGAGACTTTGTTTCATATTAAAAGTACCAAAGCACAATGCTTATTGTGATATATTGGATGGGAAGTGCCCTTCAACGTTCCATCTATTAACTGAAAACAGGCTCAGTGTTTCTCCTGCCATTATTTTAGAAGGTCAAGTTAATTTTATTTCATTATATTTTCTCCATAGCGCCAGATCACAACAGAAGTCATTTAAAGTTACCTTTCTTATAGAACATGTCTATACCTTCTTCTTTCATTAAGCAAACTAATAGCCTTATGTTATTTGTCTTATTTACACGACGGAATGTAATTTCAGTCTCTACGTTATGGTTGCGCTCTCTGCATCACACACAGCGGAGTTCCGCCCGATGCACGCGCTCACGCACACACACACACACAAGTAAGCCCACTCCCACTAGTATTTGTAAATATTAAGCCGCAAAACGATTCATATTTAAATATGAATTCTGCGTGTCTCTGTGTTAATGAATGGCGCAGACACGGTTTTGTGTAGTACTCGTACTGGACCGCTCGTGACGCTTCCGGTGATATTAACCTCTGCCGTCTCACTAATGAGGACATAAATACATGAACAACATCTCCAGAACTGCTCTGAGAGTCACTTCTTGAGCATTTGACCGTTTCATTTCAGTAAAACTATCATCATGTCATACACGCACAGAAATGTAAAGGTATTCACGGCAACTCGTCAAAATAAAAGTTCGGTTTAACTTGAAGGAATTGGCAGAAATATATTACTATTGTTCAGTAGAATGTACGTAACAGACTGCTACTACTAAAATTATTAAAAACTTATTTTTAAGGAATAAGCATTCAATATTTCTTCAATGTTTTAATTGTAATATTAAATGACCTTTATTTTCTAAAAAATTTAATTAG